AAGTCGTTAGGTGAGGTTGAACTGTGAGCTGACTTCATATTATGTAATGTGTGACAGATACACCAGTACTACGCACTCAACACTATGTACCATGAAATGAACTCATAAACTGTGTGCTGAACTATGAACTGTAAACTATACTATGACTGCTCACCGTGTAACAGAAAACAAACAAACAAACAAACAAACAAAAACAAAAAAAAAACAAAAAAAACAATGAACCACGTATTATAATCCCCTCCACCAACAAAGCTCCAAACAGAAACACAAAAGGAACATGTATATACACCTGTAAATAACTTACTGTATTTATCCACGCATCTGCAAAGTACCCGTATAAAGTATACCTTATGTCAATTTTCTCTGTAATACGAATTATGCACCATTAACATGTAACTATTATGAATTCTGCAATGTAAACAAATGCCTGGGCATGGCACTAGTGTGCCCAGTGAAAGTTTGCTTCCATAGATGGTTACTGCAGTAGGGGCGATACCACTTTTGCCCATGGCGATGCTTTGGTACCCCCTGCACTTGTTTCTGTCTGTCTACAGAAAGGGAACTACAAAAGCCGGCTTGTCCCGTACTTTATTTAGTAGCCCTTATGATGAGTAAGAAGAGTGTGCTCGTCTCTATTGAGGATACTTATAAAGTTCCTCATCTGTGAAAACATGAAACTAACCGAAATTTCCCGCGGACTGCATGCCCAGTTCTAGAAAGATACTCTTCCATGGTTAACAGTGAAGGTTTGTGCTACGAATTCAAGCAACGCCGTGAACGTTTAGCCAATGATGTTCATCTCCGTCGTCCTCGCAACAGTGTGACAAAAGAAAACATTGCACATGTTTGTAAGCTTGTCAAAAGGAGTCGACACTGCACAGTGCTTTAAATTTCAGAAGAACTTGGTATCAGCTATATCAGTCATCAGAAGGCAGTTGGTCTTCAGAAAAATCTTAGCTCGTTGGGATCCAGAGCTACTGAATGAACACTGCTGCACGAGTTCTCATTTCTCGGTTGCTCACTCTCGTTTGGAAGAAAAAAAGGAAGGTTTCGTGAATAAAATTGTTGTCTGCGACGAGACGTGGGTGTATCATTACCCCCCCAATCAAACAAAAAACTGCAAGCATGGAGTAGGGAAGGGAAAGAGAAGGAAACCTCATGAAAGGCAAAACTCAATTGTCTGCGAGGAAAGTGTTAGCTACGGTCTTTTGGGACTAAAAGGGGTCCTACTGGTGGATTCCATACACAGACATCAGACCATCAATACAACTTACTACTGTGGTCTCTTGAATCAAGTTAGATTTTAGTGTCAAGATGAGACTGTCCCATGCGCCAGGTTTTGATCCCCCACAACAACGCCAGGTATCCCACAGCAAGATTAGCGCAGCAAAAACTGGTGGAAATGCATTGTAAAACGCTTGATCATCAACTTTACAGCCCAATTTTATCGCCATGGGATTTTCACACGTTGGACCCCTCAAAGAAGCACTTGGAGACAAGTGATTTGAGACCACCGAGCAAATGAAAGCATTCCTGAGCAACTGGTTAGATATCCGTTCAACTTAATTTTATGAGGACGAAATGAAAAAGATTACAAAAACAGTGGGGAAAATGCATGATAAAAGGGAAGATTATTTAGAAAAGTAATTTTCAGAAATGTACATGTTTCCTATTAAATAAATTCTGTTTAACAAAAGGCTCGTTTATATTCGATTCACCCTAAGTGCAGTGAATTTATAGTACAGCATTATTTTCAACTCATTGTGTATGTAAAGCAACACATTTTGTCCGTATAGGAAACGAACCAGTTCGAATAATTTTAAGAACAGTGGCATGTACCTTAATATTCTCTTAAACTTTGTTAATCTGGTGCTCTCTAAAGCTAGTTCTGGTCTCTGATGCACTCGGAGCATTGAATTTAATGAACGGCCAGAACATCTTAGAACTGGTATCAACACAATCTCATGATTATTTCTGCAAGTCCTCTCTTTCATACATATATACACAAGAAGAAAAAAGACTAGAAAACTCCATTAAGAAACTTATAACTGATTACACTCGCAAGTTCAGTGAAAAGCCTGTCGAAATTTGGCACATTTCACTGCGTTGATTTTAGCAACATTGTGCGGTAATCTGTCCTTCTGAAGGGAACTCCGTTAATCTTTGTACATCCCTTTGTTTCAAGTGTTCAGGCTTATAGATATGTAGAATTAAAAGGTAGACCTTTTTGACAATCTTGAATTAATTGCTTATTACACGTCAGCTCGCAATAACATGCATGTTTATTACTTATTATGCATAATATAATAATTCATAATTATAATCATATAATTCTTATTATACATAAGCATGCAATAACAATACATAAGCGTGCCATTAGTTGGAGAAGAAAAAATCTGATGTGTACACAACATGACTTCCTTGTACGGAATATTAAATTATACGTATTTTTTCTTGCATTTAATTTAAACGTATTGGATTGAATTAAATCTACTTCGCCGACAGCGCATAAACCACAATAGAATAAATGCATTCTTTAAAATTCACTCTAGTATTTGTTTACCATAGCGACACTGGCGCTAGATTCACTTAACAGTATTATATTTCGTTCATATTATAACACAAAATTTATATCATTTAAAGAATAGAATTATCTAATCGTTGCCACATGTTCTATTCAAATACTATAATAAAGCTAGAATGATGTATAAAAGAAATTAAGCAAATAAAACAAAAAAGAAACACTTTTTCACAGACGATTGAGTATTTCTCATTCAATGAATTCAGTTCTCACTTCGCGAGAAGGCAAAATACATAAAAACTCAAAATATCTCTATTAAAAATGACGAAGTAAATCTTAAACACTTATTTCCTCGAATAAATTCCAGAAAGAATTAAGCATGATTTAATTGGCAATAATAAATGAAGGCGTTATCTTTGTTGTTGGCGAAGCTAACTTTCTCTAGATTGGCAACAAATCCACTAGTCTGCTGCTTCAAATGTAAACATTCAATGTTCGCCATAAAAAAAAAGGCTTAGTGGCACTTAAACAACTTTAAAATTGTTGATAATTCTAAAAATATTGCATACAGATTTACTAAAGGCATAAAAACCTTAACCGGAAGATAAAAACAACATAATTCAGTAATTTTTAAAACAAAAAATGTACAATTTACAAACATATAAGAGTAAAGAAACTGATATCACTGACCCGGGTAACAGAGTGGATATATAATAAATATATTTGTATACGTTTGGTGCGGACGAGTGCAACCAAAATACGAGGTTCACTTCTACATGTTATAGCAGTCCTATATACAGAATTTCAACGTTCTGAGGCTATTCAAAGTAGTGCGTACGTTCGTACAGACGCTACGAAAAATTCTCTTCGGAATGAATTTTAAATCAGTTTTATAATTTTTTTGGAGGAAAAGAGTCTTTTAGTCTGTCCTTACGTACAGATATCACGCAAAAACATCGTTAAATTGCATTCGATAGCCGTCAAAATGGATATTTTCGTTGAAATATGCTGCCTGAAACTTTTCGCGATTACAATACTCCCTTTTTACTTCGTACAAGGAAGTAAAAAGAAAAAGAAATATTTTAAAGCATTACAAACATTTTATGTAATTTACATAGCGAGCTGGTAGTATTGTGATAAAAATTAGAAAAATGGAGTTAACAACACATAGGAAGAAATTTCGAAGTAACAGAGCCTCAGTGCTTTAAATGATTAACTTCTAAACGCTCCAGTAACGGTAATGTTATATTCAGGTAGAGAATGTGTTTTCTTTCTTTTTTCAAATCAACAAGCAACTAAGTTTTTTTTAAATTTCTAACAGGAAATGGATTATAAGTAAAATGCTTCATTTAAACTTATACTACCTCAAATGATGGGTTTAAACTGATTGCAGCAGAGAGTTAGGCAGATGCGAATTTTAAATGCGGCATTAATTGCCATAAAACGTAACGAACCGCCCAACCGGTATGGTGGTTAACGTCGCTGACTGCTGTGCCAGCGGGCCCTGGCAAATTTGCGCTTTTGCAGCTGAGGTTGATGGTTCGGTAAAACCATCGAAATTAGTCCTGTGAAAGTTAAAAAATATAACGCTGATTTTTGTTGTTTGACTTCTAAATTAATATTTGTTTGGCGTGTTATTGTATCTTAAAAACACCATTGTTAATAATTTAAAATACCTTTCTTCTTTCTGTCATTCAGAAAGAAACATATTCGTCTCCCGAAGATTCAGTAGCATCTCTAAGATGAAGAAGTTTGGTTTGGTGTGGTTTATTTTGATTATTGAAATAAACCAAACCAAATGAAAACAAACCAAATGATTTTTGATTGATATTTTCAAAACGGTGGGGGAATCTGCTTAAGAGTACTTAGGTGATGAGCAAATGCGATTATCATGCATTTATAATGTTAAACCCTTTAGAAAAAATATTAATTTTGGTATTCTCATTGCGTTTTATTACATTTTTAACGCATGTTTTTTTTCCTAAACTATCTACATGGAATACGTCCCTTATGCATTAACCTTTTTTAAAACCCCCTATTTTAAATCAAAGTTATTTATGTATTTGCATTGCCATATTCATGATCATGCATTTAACACATTTCCTAAATTCTAGAGCATTTCTCTGATTAAAAGCTAGATTTAAAATTTGAATACAAAATTAAAACAGAATTATTGAGTTTTATTAATACTTTGGGAATTTTGTATTAGACGTATCTATCTATAGCTTACACTCGTTTCCTAGAAACTTCTGGTTTTGTGAGCTGTTGTCAGTTCACCCGGCATAAAATTTTTAATTTATTTTGAAAATTGTAACAGCTAATTGTTTCATATAACTTAAAAGAGATTTAATAAATAAGCTAAAAATTTTGATGGTATTATTAATTCCTATATTAATTCATATAATTAACAAAATGCACTTTTAACATTATATATATATCTGTAGTAGAAAACCTTTCTTTTTACATTAATGTTGCAAAATTTTTCTAGAAAACTTTTTTTAATATAAAATATGCATAAGAGTTCGATATCTGAGGCAGACTTGTACACAGTTCTTCATTTGACAGAGCACTGCCTCCTGATATTCAGTAGTAAAAACGTCCGTATCATTATATCATTAAATATGTATAAAAAGTTGGGGTATTCTCCCAATAGGCGATCTACTTTATTTAACTGTGTAGTTACTTTAAGAATCGACAGGTGGCGCCACTAAAATTGCTGTTTTTACACATTTCTTTTTTCTTCTGCCATTTTATTGACATTTGCACGATCAGATTTATTATGATTCAATAATTATAATTTTTTTATGTTTCGCGAAATATTTATTTCTTTTGCTGTGTTTTATACTGCGTATAAGAAACCTTTAGTGTTCGAATAAAAGGGTGAATTTTTTTTTTTTTTTTTTTTTTTTTTTTAGATTAGCTGGTTTAAAAATTTCAATGAATTCAGTAACTGAAATTGAGACTTTAATGTTATGGATTTAGATTATAACAAGAATTTCGCGTATATAGTGAGAGAAACAGACAATGTGTAAGATAAAATACACTCGATTTTGTAGTTATATTGTCTGAAAAAGGTGATGGCGCCATCTAGTGCAAAAATGATTAACTAACTAACCAAATTCGGTAGATCGCCAGTTGGGACAATACCTAAAATTGCTTATTTATATCCATGCAGTCTTTGTATACACGAAAGTGGAAGTGAATTTCTATAGTCTCTTATTTCTTTTTATCCATTTAATTAAAGCATAAATTTATGCTTGGTTAGGGTTCTTTTTTAGTTCAGATATTTTAGATTGTGATCATTTTTAGGCTAGCTAAGAATTCGTTGGCCGTAACTAGAAATAAAACGTTTTGAATACAAAAAGAATAAAAAATTAATTAACATAGCAATCTATAACTTAATGCCTAAAGGCAAAAGTTCATTTGTTTTAGGGAGAGTACGTTCGTAATAACACAAATAGTATCAGAAGCATATTTAAAGCAATCTTGATTTGCAATTTATATTTCTTTTGGCTTGTCTCCAAATATACTCACTAACATTTAGTTCTAAGTTAAGGTTTGCTTCCCGGTGGTAACCAGCCACCATACACTTTCTCTAACTCTACTGCACAAGCAATTGTTAAAGGATCGTTGTTTCTGCGACTGACAATTTGAATTCCAAGAGGCAAACCATGTTTGTTGAGACCTAAAGGACACTGAGTAGACGGCAGTCCCAATACGTTGAAGACAGACGTATACCATGTGCTGGGAAGTAAAACAGGTATTTCATGGTGGTAAGGTGCAGAGAAAGGAAAAGTAGGCATTATCAAAACGGATTGTTCATCTAGTAATTTGTCAAATTGTTCATCTAGTTCTTGAGCAAGTTTTTTGTAGTATGGTACTTTACTCTCCCTGTACCAGAGGGGAAATTTTCCCAAACTCATGGCTACAACAGGTCCAAGCGTCAATGTGGAATTGCCGACGAAGAACTTAAGAAGTTCAGTGAACTTGTTGATATCTTTTTTACCAGCTGTAAGTACTTTTGCGACATCATCCACACCAGACAGCAGAGAATGCAGTGCAATCATGTTTGTACTTCTTAGCAAAGGGAGTTTTACTTCTTTAGCATTCACCCCATAAGTTGTTTGAAAATAAGAAATGACCTATAAAAAAGGTAAATTCTTTTAATAAGAAAAGGTATTATATATGCATTAAAATCATAATTAATTCCAGAATGTTTCGGAAACATAATCTGAAATAATTTTATTATGGTATTGAAAAATTGAGTTTCTTGAATTAGAATGAAATGATATTATGCGAATATGGTAACAGTATGATGGGGTAAGTGTATAAGTGTACAGAAATCTGAGCAAGACTTTAAATTTCGTTAATATTCAAACAGCATATTAAAAAATAGGGTGTTTATGACCTATTCTAAATAGTTTTATTAAACATAAATTAATAAAAATCCCCATATCTCTAGTTAACCTATATATATTTCTTTGAGATGACATTCTCTTTATGCGTCTCAACTAATATTCAGTAGTAAAAGTATTAGTATCATCCTCAAGAAGAAAACGGAAGACCATGTGACCATTCACATTAATATAATAATATACATTCACATTAATTCTACTCATATCGAGATTTGAATGTGAGTTATTTAAAAATTGAAGACAAGTGACCTAATAACTATACTATCAAAGCCCTTTTCTTTGCTTTATTTAAAATTTTTTTATTCGTTTATTTGCCTAATTATCGTATATATATATTATATTATATTGAACGATCTAAAATTCACAGAGTTCGAAAACAAGTTTTTCTACATACTCTACATATAGTACTTTCTACATAAAATTTTTTTATTCGTTTATTTGCCTAATTATCGTATATATATATTATATTATATTGAATGATCTAAAATTCACAGAGTTCGAAAACAAGTTTCTACATACTCTTTAGTCTGTCAAATAGCTCGTTGACAATGAAAATTACTTTTTTCTCTTTCTTCTTTTCTTCCTCGTTCCGATACGACAATTAGCCAGAAATTAAGTAATTTCCATTCACTAGTGAGTATATTCAAAATTTTAACAGACGTCTTCACTCACATAAGAACTCCGCAACAAACGTCCCTCAAAAATTCCTAGTCATTCCCACGTCCCCAAAATAGCTTTTCAAACGTTTCACCGCCTGTAATAATTTAAAGTATCCCCACTGCCGATAAGGGAATTTTTTACAACCCCCTTCTGAGTAAGACACAGAAGAAAACACTTTACCGACATCCCACTAGAAAGTAGACATCCCACTAGAAAGAAGTAAGTTAATTAATACATTTTCTGGCCTTTACATCTTCATGTACATTTCACATTTTACTTTCTTATTATATATATTTCAATTTTTAGACTTTTATTTGACTTATTTTTGCAAAGATAGCATTATTATGTTTCTTTTTCTCCTTTTTTTCCTCATGTTTATTTCAATTACTTTGAGTTCTATTTCATAATCCCAATTAAGATTACTACTGTTTATTATGTTAATTTTTATAAAAAAATCTTGAATTAACATGCATGAAAACGAAGGTGTCGGAGGACATTTACTCAAGTGTTTTGTAAATTTTACCACATAAATGGGCTTTTCACTCAAAATTTCTAAAGAATCTTGTATTAGCGAAAAAATGCTTCATTAAGAAGGAATTCTTTGATACTCTACTTTGGTTATAAATACCATCACTTCATGGAACTACAATTTTGGCCTAACTTAATTTGCCGGTTTGGCACAATCATTCTTACTTGAGTAAAAGACGAAACTCCTTCGGATTTATTAATTATTGTTCATTGAACGGGAGTTGGTTTGTTCTAGAAAAGTCAACTAATTTCCGATCAATAGCAATAATTACTTGTTTTTTAATTTTTAATTTCTTTTTCAAATTTTGAAATTTTGTTATTCATGATTTAAAATTAAGTTCCCTTAAAAACTTTTTTAGTTTTTATTTTTTTTTTTATGATTTACATTTAAGTTACTTTAAAACACAATTTTCGGAATTAAACATCCTACATATGAGTTCCCTCTTTTTTGATACATTCTACTAAATTTATATTAGGAGATAGTATAGTCAATATTTCTTTAGTAAATAAATTATCATATATTATATTATAAGTATATACGCCTGATCATTCAAAAGTAAAAGAAAAAATAAGGATTAAATAATTCGAAAAGCGTAGACAATAAGCATCATCTGGTTGTTACGGAAATGCATAGAAAAGCTCGAGGTGTTTCTAATAACGAATGATATTTTTTGCAGGATAGTTACATTCTTCACTGATAGGTGGTACTTTGGTTCAGAAGCTCTTACAATGGCACAACACAGCCCGAACGCAGCTAGATTTTCAGTGTGATGTTCAGTGTGATGGCATCATTGCTAATAATTGCCCCATATCTCTAGTTAACCTATACATATTTCTTTGAGATGACATTCTCTTTATGCGTCTCAACTAATATTCAGTAGTAAAAGTATCAGTATCATCCTCACGAAGAAAACGGAAGACCATGTGACCATTCAAATTAATATAATAATATACATTCACATTATTTCTACTCATATCGAGATTTGAATGTGAGTTATTTGGAAATTGAAGACAAGTGATCTAATAACTATACTATCAAAGCCCTTTGCTTTGCTTTTTTAAAAAATTTTTTATTCGTTTATCTGCCTAAAATCGTATATATATATATATATATATAATATATATATTATTTATATTGAATGATCTACATTCACTGAGTTCGAAAACAAGATCTTCTACATATCTTAGTCTGTCAGCTCGTTGACAGAAATTCTTTTTCTTTTCTTCTTTTCTTCCGCTTCCGACACGACAAGTAGCCAAATTAATTAATTCCTTTCACGAGTGATTAATCAAAATCTAACAGGTTTTCACTCACCGAGACGCGCAACAAACGTCCCTCAAACATTCCTAGTACTCCCACTCCCCAAAATAGTCTCAAAAGTTTCACCGCCGTAATTCAAAGAATCCCCACTGCCGAACCGAATTTTGGACACCCCCTCAGTACGAACATAAAGAACAATTTTACCGACATCCCACTAGAAGTTAATTAATGCATTTTCTGTCTTAAATCTTCTGTACTTTCACATTTTACTTTTCTTATATATTAAATTTTTCAACTTTTATTTGATTTATTTTTGCAAAGATAGCATTATTATGTTTCTTTTTCTCCTTTTTTTTTTCTCATGTTCATTTCAATTATTTTGAGTTCTATTTCATAGTTCCAATTAAGATTACTACTGTTTATTATGTTTATTTTTATAAAAATGGTCTTGAATTAACATGTATAAAAGCGAAGGTGTCGGAGGACATTTACTCAAGTATTTTGTAAATTTTACAACATAAATTGGCTTTTCACTCAAAATTTCCAAAGAATCTTGTATTAGCGAAAATGCTTCATTAAGAATGAGTTATTTGGTACTCTACTTTGGGTTATCATCCCATCACTTCACGGACTACATTTGTCTTAATTAATTTGCCAGTTGGCACTCATTCTTACTTGAGTAAAAGACGAAACTCTTCGATTTAATTAATTTTTTCATTGATCGGGAGTTGTTTTTTTGAAAAGTCAACTAATTTCCAATCAATAGCAATCTTAACTTGTTTTTTTTTTAATTTTTTTTTTTTGAAATTTTCCGTATTGCATGATTTAAATTTAAGCTCCCTTGAAGCTTTTTTTATTTTTTTTTTTATGATTTACATTGTAAGTTACCTTAAACACAATTTTCTAAAATCCTACATATGAGTTTCCCTCTGTTTTGATACATTGCTAAATTGTATATTGGAGATATAAGTCAATATTTCTTTAGTAAATAAATTATCATATATTATATTATAAGTATATATGCCTGATCATTCAAAAGTAAAAGAAAAAATAAAGATTAAATAATTCAAAAAGCATATACAATAGCATCATCTGGTTGTTACGGAATTGCGTAGAAAAGCTAGAGGTGTTTCTAATAACGAATGATATTTTTGCAGGATAGTTACATTCTTCACCGATAGGTGGTGTTTTGGTTGAGAAGCTCTTACAATGGCACAACACAGCCCGAACGTAGCTAGGTTTTCAGTGTGATGTTCAGTGTGATGCCATCATTGCTAATAATTGCCTTCAGATGCTTTGCACTGTACCGAAGAATGTTCAACTGTAAATCCTGTATCACGTGACGGCAAACTTTTCACAATATGGACAACACCTCAGCCCGATTACTGTACACATATGATCTTAAGTAGCGCCGTAATCAAAGGTTACAAAAAGTGAGGCATGGGGACCTTTAAGCACCATCGTGCAGGGGTGATCATCTGAGGAGCACGGTCATCGTCGAAGGTCACACGCAACAAGTGCTAAGCAGGGCGCGTGCGCAGGCTCTCCATCCTGCAGATATGTTACATTACAGAACACTAGGCTGTCTTGCAATAAGGGACTAATATTCTTGTTCAAAAAGTGCTTCATAACGCTCGTCTGTGAAAGAAATAGTTTGCAATGTAATGCTGTGGGCTTTCATAAAGAAACGTGGCTTGGAATGAGTGATGCAGGTTACCAGCATCACGCTGTCATCTTTGAGTGATGAAAAGGGATTTCCACATTCCAATGTAGTTTCACTGTTTCCCAGACTAGGGCTTCCATGAATAGGTTTTTCGATCAGTTTTTTATTCTTTTATTGTAATCTGGGTTGATAGGTTTATTTTCCACAAAAATGACTCATTATCTATGCCTTCCGGTAATTTTAAGTCAATTTTTTTTTTTTTTTTTTTGTAAATTCAAAAAAATTCAATGTACTTAATAACAGTTTAGAATTTTATTCTTTGTATATTCCATTAATTTATTCAAAAACTCCTGGACATTAAGAAAGACCTCGAGATTCCACCTAATATACAACTACTCTTAATATCCAGAAGCCTTTTGGAGGAAGTAAGGCTAGACCTAGTAAAAACCATTCATAGAAAGTAAAATGTTGCACCAAGTGTTTTGAAATGTTTATGTTTTGAAATAAAGAGACCATTGCGGCTATATATCCACCTAAACAATAACTGTACATTTTTACTGATGGTTTTCAGATTGATTGTCATTTTAAAGTTGGGCCTGGTGTGTTTTTGAATCTTTTTTTCTTTCTTACACCCCTGCAGAATACATTGGTACCTCCTTTAATGGTGAATTAGTAGCCATATGTATAGCCCTAAAGTCTTACTAGTTTGCAAAGGCAGTAGTTTTTTCTGACTCTCACGTAGCCATTCAATCAACTAGCTCTGTTTAATACCCATTAATACCTGCAATTTTGCATTGTCAAAAATTCCTGAGAACTCTCACTTTAAAGGGGAAGCAAATCGTTCTCAGTGGGTGCCTGGCCATTGTGGTCTTTGGGGCAATGAACAAGCGGACTTCCTTGCAAAAAGAGGTGCCAGCTTCCTACAACAATGTAATTTATCTCTCATCCGTTAGCTTTTAAATCAAGGGTCGACTTTTATTTTGTCATTCAATTTTGCATACCACCTTCAACTTATCAACTTATAGCTTAAACTTATATGTACTAGGCCTTTTTTGTATGAAAGCTCAGATTTCTTCTTAAAATAGTCTTAAAAATGAAGAACCTATATATGTAAAAGACATTTTAAATGAAAGACAGTTGAGCTTGGCTGTAGAAAAATTCCATAGTAGCTACAAAAAAAAAAAAAAAAATGAGACAGAAGAATTGTTACAAGATAAAATTAAAACTCTGTTACCTTTTTTATAGCTTCCTGATATTCTTCTGTAGGACGGAAAGAAAGAGGAACATCTTCTGACAGCAGGTAGAATAATTTCAATTTCGAAAAATTTACCTGAAATTAATTGTAAAATAGTTTAAATTTTATTCTGCAATCTGAGGAATTATCCAAATATATTTCGTTAACAATCTTTTAAATCAGATTTCTTTGCAAGTTTCATAAAATGCTTTCTTCTAGAACTAGAACTTCGTTTAATTTAAATACAGTGTATTAAAGTATTTAATTTAAATACTATTTAAATGTTTCTCAATGTCTGCTGCTTTGGTATCCATGCTTTCAATTGAATTTTATAACTCGAGAGGAGGCAGGAATGAAAACACATAATAAGTGTAATAAAATATACAAAGTTGTAATAATATATACGAATTGAAACCCTCCTATTATTCAGTATTATTCCTATTACTTCTATTACTATAAATAAGCTGTAATAAAATATACGAATTGAAAGCCTCCTATTACTCACTTCCCAAAATAGTCCTAATCTAGACATAATGTGCGTCTTTCAAACCAATGTAAAGAAATAGGAAGAGTTAGATATTATGTACGATTTGGCCTAATGTACGTTCGCAAGTTTCAAGTTACCTTTCAAATAGTATATGTTCGTCTTATCTCACATATTTGTAAATACTGCAGTGTATTTCTGAAGGGGGTGCTACTTTGGTAGACGGTTGCACGGATTTGGGCGATTTTTCTTTTGGCGAGTAATACGACTTATAGTAAAACCCATTGATCGAAATTAAGTTATATGTTAACCGCTCCTTGGTTTCTTTTATTTTTAAAAATATTGCTTTTTCTTAGCATAATTTTGTTTTAATATTATTATGGCTTGCTAACATTAAAACTCATTTGATTTTGGCTTTTTTTGAAATAAAAAATTTATTTTTATGCTATTTATGAATTTATGTTTGGATGATAATCAATGGCGTGCCCTTCTTTAAAAAGTAATTAGTTTTAATATATATAATTTATCGTATGTTTTTAAACATTATTTATGGCTGTTAATCTTAAATACATTTAATTTGCAGTTTTTGAAAATGATTTTATTATGTATGATTATTTAAATATTTTAATTCTAGGAGTGATGTATCACTTTCTGTTGTTATATATATTTGTTGCATTACAGCCGCATTTTAAAAGTTAATCATATCTTCGATCCTTCGAAAGATTGCAAAAGATGTGTTATTGGTATACCAAGAATTAGATATCGGAATCAAAAAATTGTCCTTGTACTCGAAAGGGCGGTTAAAGACTTCGAATCTAAAACAATACCTATATTGATTTTTTTTCAATTTTTTTTGGTTATTTTTATCTTATGATCCATTTTGGCTCTAAATTGCTTTATCTATTTTAATTTTTTTTTTTTTTATTTTTTTTATTTTTTTTCTTCGTTCTCTAAAATTAGATTTCGATTTTTTTTGTGGTACTTATCATAAACACAGGGTTATGATACTATTTTTCTTTTTTTATAATTGTATATTCATTTTTGTTAAAAAAATTAATACCTATTTCAAAAATTGCTGAGATAATTATGAATTTTTAATGTTAATTATATTCTATATAACATATTTTAAGTATTTAATTGAATATTTTAATTCTTTAAATGTTGGATAATGTTTTTAATTCGATATTCAATTAAGTAATATTTAATCTTTAACGTTGCACATGTTTTTAGCGGTGTTTTATTCTTTATTTGCTATATGAAGTTAATAACCTTTACTTAGATTTTATATCAAGTAAATGTGTTATTTACCGTGCCTGCCATCTTAAAAACGACATTTTCAACAAAAAATTATCTATTACTTTTACGAATTTATTTAGTTTTAGTTAGAATACTTTAACTATGAGTAAGAACACGTTTCAAATGGTACGATTGAAAACCGCGCCAACAATTGCGCCAATGTAAATCGCCAAAATCCGTGCAACCGTCTACCAAAGTAGCACCCTGAAGGGTACCATAGCTATTAGTGGCTAGACAATTTCCGAGTCATTTATTTTTGCTTTCATATCAACATATATTGGGAAAAGAATGATTTTTCCTATTATTATCCTTTGAAACAGAGAGAATATTACACTCTACGCATTACCGCATTTTATCACTACTTTGTAGCATTTAAGAGGTTAAGTTAAAATCTGTTATTTTTATATATGCAAGAAACAAAATATACGAGGAAACGGTAGACAGAATATTTCGCCCCCCCCAACCGAGATAGTAATTAGCGACGCTGACAGTTTTACTGAAAGGTATGGCTTCGAATCCTGGGGAAGGCATGGATATTTGTACATCTAACACTGCGTAAAGAAAGAAAAAAGGGGACAGTTTCTCCCGTTCTACTGGGCCGATTGACAAAATTCAAATTGCGTTTTTCATGTCTCGTGTATTAGATTTATATATAGCATTGTTCTAACACAGGTATTTTGGCACAAAAATCGGACCTTTTTCTGAAAAAACATACCAGTTTTCCATATTTCGATCTACGACTCAATTAGCCTAGATATTAATTTGTAAAAATTGCTGCGAATTTACAGAAATTCAAAAATTATTTGCACAATTTTTCAGTTTTCGCCAAGATAATTCACCTGGCTACTTTTAATTGTGGCAACCATTTCCTTTCCCTTACTGATGCCGTGCGGAATTAAAGGACCTCCTTCCTACTTTTTACTTGGTGATTAACGGAAAGAAAGCACATCGTTTTACTTCGAAATAATTTAGCAAAGTGCTAAACCACATTTGATTTTCTCGCTTCACAATTATGCCAAATTTCAAAAACGGACCAATATATAAATTTATGTCACTTCGAAAATTTTGATAAAAAACTGTTTTTTTGCATGTAGTTTATAAATACGCACTTAGATGGTGTAAATGTTTAGTTATAATCAATTGTTTTTCCCCCATTTATAAAATTATTTCCAATACAATTTTACACTAAATCCACAAAATGGTGAATTTTATTGGAATGAACCTAATTCGAAATGTGAAGGAGAATTAAATAGTTTAATAAAATAGTTGGCGTAATTTGAGTCGTATCAAATATGAAAAAAATTGCTATTGATTCAGACCAAATCCGATTTTGTCAAAAACCTATATTAAACCTGCTATATAATCTATACTATCTAAGTAGCTTCGCGACATGAAAAACGCAAGTTGAAATTCGTCAATCGGCCCAGTAGAACGGGAGGTAAAGAACTGTCCCATTTTTTTGGCGCAGTGTAAAGTGTCTGTGCAGCACGGGGGAACGCTAAATATGCGGAGAGTTAAAAGTCCTCTTGGTTAAGTTTATAGTAGGGAAAGAGAGGGTGGAAGACTATCGGACCCATCCCCCTTGGGTGCTCTTCTTCAAAAGTGGGGCAGAACTGAGCAAAGTCGTACTGTCACCTGTATGGTAGTCAAGGCTATTGCCAACGCAGGCGCAATCATACACTCCTTGCCCCGATGAATTTCGTGAGCTTTTTCTGATCTTACTGTCAGTTAGATAAGTCACAACAACAACAATAACGGAATATTTCATATTTTTATAATTTAATAACACAACTTATAATGCAGTGTACACTATTAAAATGTATTTTATTTCATATTAAACCGTATTTTTGCTAAAAGGTTTTTTTTACATTAGTTACCACTCCAGACTTCTTATATCTTCCTGTTAAAGAGTGTCCGCACTTATACAGATATTGTATAAAAACCATCATTGCTTAAGAGGGAAAAGAGTAAGCAATGCAAATTTTTAATATACGTTTTATTTACCCTTTCAGCACTCATCGACCTGTCAAAGACCATCATCATGGTCAGAGTTGCTAACGTAATTGTTAAGGTGAGAGTAATTAATAAAGGCGAAGTGGTTATAGTATGTACTCCAGTGACCTGCGTTAAACGAACCAGTTGTCCTCCAGCCTCTGTATCTTCGGAGACCCTAACATCAGGGGGAGGTTATTACAAAACGCACAACTAAGCGATGAAGAGTGTAGTGCTGTAGAGCGTGTCATTCAAAAATTTCAAGATAGTTTCTCCTGGACATCTTCGTAGGTCGAGAAAGTATGGCGAAGCATGAAACTGATATGAGGGATCATCCACCAATCAAGTAACATCCAGGACGTCTACCGATTGCTAAACAGGAAAAGGTAGGAACACTTCTAAAGGATATGCAAGAAAGCAATCTTATTGAACCTTCAGCAAGTCCTTGGATCACTTCAATTGTCCAGAATCGTCCAATCGTTAGAAAGGAAGGATGATTAAATTAGATTTGACGTTGAACACCGCCGGCTGAACGAGCTTACTAATAAAGCCAGCTTTCCTCTTCTTAGAACTTATGACATTTTGGACAATCTTTATGGAAGCATGCTTGATTTAAAGAGCAGATATAAAGAGTTACACCCAGAAGACCGAGAAATATAAAGATAATTAGGTATAAAGAGTGCAAAGAGTTACACCCAGAAGACCGAGAAAAGACGGCATTTATTACCACACAAGAGCTCCACAAATTCAAGGTGATGCCATTTCGATTATAAACTGCGTCGGCAACATTCGAAAGACCATACTGAGAGATCTTTCCTACGAAATCTCTTTGATATACATGGATGACACCATCATTGTCGGGTAAAGTTTTTGAAGAGCATTTAGAAAATAATACCTGGAAGGTGCTTCAGAAATTGAAGGGAGCCAATCTAAGTTTAAGTCTTAAATTGGTCAGACAGGAAGCGGCTTACCTCGGACATATCATCTCTGCCAAAGTTGCGCCTAAGGATCCAGAAAAAGCGTCGGCAGTTAAAGACTGAGGACGTCCTAAAAATGTCCATCAACTTTCATCGCAAGATCCATTCATAAACTGACAAAGAGCAAGTAAAATTTCTTAAGGACAAATCTGAAGATGCATTTTACAAACTCCGAAGGAATTTCGGATGCATTTTACAAAGTCCGACTGTAAAGATTTGACGGAAAAAGACCTTTTCTTAAATGAAATTTTGAATTTTGAATTCGTTTTATTATCTTTTAGTCATGAGTTTTTTTTTTTTTTTTTTTGAAGCAGAAGACGTGAAAAATGTGCAATACCCTCTCCGAGACTCGAACTCTGGACCTTTCGACTATACATAGAATATGTTTTCAATTACGCTATGAAGGCATGCGTAAAGAAGGGAGAAAATACCTTATATACTCCCCTTTTTAAAAGCGACGGGGATTTGGGGGCGCAAAAGCCAAATCCTGGTGGTGACAAAGTATTATCCACCACCTTTTATTTCAGGCGCCCATTAAGTTTTTTGAAACAGGGGATGTGAAAAATATGCAGTGCCCTCGCCGGGATTCGAATCCTGGACTTCTCAACGACGATTATGCTTCCAATTGCACTACGAAGGCACGCGGAAAGGATGGAGAAAATACTTATAATCTATTTCATATTTTGTAAAACTGTAACGAAATTTTTAAAAAAATAAACTGAACGATTTCAAAGAGAGAAGGTGCAACATTATAATGAAGAAAACATTTTTTATCTCCATCGCTTGAGACTGTCCAGCAATTCTAAAGATATGCTGCTTTTAAATATTTTTAGCCCAAAGGGGAGTTAGTCCAAATGCTCTAGAAAATTGTATGTGGGTGCAGATGAAAAAAAAAAAAAGGCCCCTTTGGGCGTATATAAAATCTGAAAGCTTTCAAATTTTTGCATTATATTAATTTAAATTTATTTATGAATTAAAGCTTATTGTCGTTTCAATACTTGATTTCTTCTTTTCATTTTTCTTTAGCAACAAACGCGTAAATGTTAGTGGATATTTTTTCTAAGGGTGATATGTCGTTTCTTTCGGTCTTCGTTTTTAGTCCAAAGGGGCTTTGTCCCTGAAGAACTATTGTTTTCATTTTGCGATTTTGCGTTGATTCACTACAAACGGAGAATCACTTTTAAAATTGTCCCCACAAAGTATTATCGCCCTGTGTTATATTTAAAGAAATTAAATAATGAAAAATCTGCATAAATGAATGTATATTCTCGCATTGTGGAAAAACGGACACGAGCTAACGAATTTGATGACGTAATCCTCCTCGAATATGGGCATGGGGAAGACAAATTTGAAGTTTGGAATTGTTATGATCGTTTCCTATTTATAAAACTTTAACGAATTTTGATTAACAACTAAGGATTTCAAGCGAGGCTGGCAACGTTGTGCAGGAAAAACTTTTATCTCCAGCGCGTGAGTCCTGTATCGGAAATTCAAAGATATGCTCATTTTAAAACTATTTTGCGATATTACTGTTGAACTGAAATTTTATGGTTTAAGTGCGAAGAATGTGATATTTAATAAATAAATGTAACACACGAAATGTTATAAAGAACGCCCCTTTGGACTTAATTTAAAATTTGAAATCTTTCAGATTTGTTTTTAATAAATTTCCTGACAAATGCTAACAATAAATAAAAAGCGGAAGGATAAAATAATGAAAAATTAATAAAAATTGAAACAAGATCTACCTGCTTTCCAAATTTGACAGGTTTCTCATTCTGGGAGGTAAGAACTGACATCGTCGTCACCAGATCTTCCGCATATCTGCACATCGGACCCGTGTATATAAAATTGTGGATCTTTGGATCAGGAACAGGAAAACATCCATCTGCTGACACCAAACCTACCAAAGATCAGATATTCGTTATACACATCTACATAATGTGTATAAATTAAATCTAACGAAAAGCTTAATACTTTCAAAAGAACTTAAATGTATTGGCTAATAACCTTGTTTCTTTGGTTACAAAATCTAAACAATTATTCAAAATGCTTGAAAATTTGAATGACAGAAAAGTAAGTTGGTATAGGTAGAGAGAGAGATGTCACAGTAGACATGGGAAAGAAAAAAAGACCATTTTGCTACAAGGGCACATGGGGTACATGGGTTCTTATGGCTTATTGTTTTTACTTGTTAACATGCCCCGTGTTAAAATGTTGCATAGGGCAGAGGGTTGTGGCAGATATTTTTATTAATATGGAGCTACTATTGTCAAAAATCAAGCGAACATGATTTTTAAGAAGCAGTTCTATATCCGGACGTACTAGACACCTCTGCAGTCATTAGGTTATTTTGAAGTAGAAATGAAAAATGTGCAATGCCTTAGCCGGACTCGAACATAGAGCTCACGAATACGCGCCGAGTGTGCCCCGAAGGCATGCAAAAAGGAGGGAGAAAATATCTTATAACCTGATGGTAAAAACATACAGAGTTATCATATGGCAAAAGAACATTATGTCATATTAGCCTACGATCAATTTAATTTAATTCTCCATTTGGAACACAGGCACACTGGAGTTTATTCATTGCTAATAGTGAAATGAATGTACTGCAAAATACAACTCTATAATTCATGAAATTTTTTAATATAGGAATATCTAGGAACGAGGAAAGCACAGATGAAGAGTTTAAACCGATCCCTTGAGGCCGTGTCTTTATTGCTTCAAAAGAAGAGACTTTATTTGCCCGACTTTGAAAATATATGTATATGTTTATATTTAAATAAATTTAAATTCTAAACTAATACGTATAAAAGTAAAAAAGTAAAAAGCAAATTTAAATTCGAAAAAAAGGAAAAAAAAGCCAATAATTTAAAAACATGCAAACATGTAAAGATTTAATTCTGAATAATCTACAATATATTTAAATTCAGAAGCTAAGCAAATCAAGTGTAAAACTATCCATGAAATTAATCTACTAATTGAATAATTCATTAAAATAAACAATTTTTTTTTTAAAAGCAGATGTGATGATGATAGAGAGGCAAAAGCCAGACTATCAAGAGGAAGTTCCTCAACCTAACTCTACACCATTCATTAGTGTTTTGTCATCTGCAGGCAAGGGTAAAGTAAAACCAAAAAGTAATCCAATAAAGTGGTACCTTAGAAAGTAACATTTAAGTTTCACATTTAAGAATTAAGTTCAAACGGAAAATATAATAAGTTTTTGAGAAACAAGCAAGTACAGTCAAGAATTAAAATTTTCTTAAAAAATTAAATTTTTTAAAAATTAATTTTTATAAAATAAAAAAAAAAATCTAGAAACAATGTATTTTAGAAATTTTGTCTACAGAAACTTCCCCTACACGAATATGCATATCAATAAAAAGAAATATAGAAAATACAAGGTGTGACACACACAAAAAAGGGACTGGTCCAATAAATCATTATACATACAGAATCAGTTCTACGTGACATTATCACCTTCAAAGTAGTTCCCTTCAGCATTCACACATTTCTGCAGTCGGTGCTGCCATTGCTGATAACAGTTCTGGAACGAGGTTTGTGGATGACCCTTCAGGAGACTGAGCGCCGCCTGAGATAACCACTGACCTGACTTTGTTGTAAAAGTCTTACAGTGTTAATAGTCATCCTGGCAGAAGGGAATATTTCCTCCGTGTAAAAATATAAATATAAATGTTACATGGGCATACAAGGCCTGTGTATAAGTGTAGATATGTTGATTACAAACATTGTCTTGTACAAGTTACATAAAATCATGACAGCTATGTGCACATTTAAATATTATCTGAATTTGTGTTTACAATACTTTTACTGAGATAATCAAAGTAAACTTGTAATTCATTTACACATTGACTGAATTTTCGATATCATTTAAACTGCTTTACAATATTATTTTTTATCAATTACCTACAAACTGGATAGTAATATGCTTACATTACAATAATTTTGCTCTTACAGTCCTGTTACTATTCTACGGGGGAGCTATTTTTCTAGTGTTGATTTTCAGTTGTTGTAGTATTTTGAATTGCTATTAAAATTATGCTGCGAAGATGCAATTCTCAAGGGAAGGGGAGAATTTCTTAGTACCTTGCTGAGCATAGCCTAATTACCTCCTCTATTTTAGTTTTCGTCTGCTTGTTGCCGCATGTATTCTCCGCCTATTGCGGCCAGTATTCACTGCTTGGCATTTAAATACAGTTTATCGGTTTGTGGGCAGTTGAAGAGAAGTGATCTGCATCACCTACCGCACCACATTGACACAATCCTGATGCTCGTTTCCCGAATCTTTTAAGATAATGTGGGAAGGGGCCATGGCCAATGTAGAATTGAGTTTGTATTAACTGCGCATGTAACTTTCGGAAAGAACTTGTCGGTTCTCCTCCCTGTGCTTTCCCTTTTCCATCTTTTCTGCCATTCTTGTAAAAGGACATTGAGCGTGATTTTTTTAAATAGGACTGCGGAACACTTACTGCGTTTTCAAATCTACTGGAGTCATTGGTTGCAGATTTCGCAAGCACGTCCGCCGCTTCGCTGCCAGTAATACCCACATGAGCTGGAATCCAGATCAGGATATATCTGTCATCTGGTGGGATACTTGAAGAATTTTCTGAACATCTTGCGCCAAAGGACTCCTTGTCTTGTGTCCTCTGATGGACTCCAAACTTGAGGCAGAGTCGCTGTATATGTTGACTTTTATTCTTAATTGATATTTTGCCAAATTGATGGCTGCTTTTAATGCAAGAAGCTCTGCTTGAAAGACAGGCAGAGCTTTGCCTGAACCTCTTCAGCTCAGGTAAAACGGATTCCCTTTAAGTCAGATTTAACTTTAGGAAATAAAACAAAGGTCGCATGAAGCCAAATCAGGTGAATAAGGAGGATGCCTCATCACAGTAATGTTTTTGCTGCTCATAAACTGCTTGATAGATTGGGTAGTGTGAAAGGGTCATTTGTCCTTGTGAAACAGCCATCCATGACTCCACAGCTGCGACCTTTTTGTTTTCCCTAATTTTTTCACGAAGTCTTTTTGGTACTTTAATGTAGTAGTGTTGATTAACAGTCTGAGCACTGGGAATCCTTTCAATCATGATGAACGTGCTGGGCACCCAGCACATTCTTCGTCTTCCACACTGTCCCTTCCCTCTGAAAACCTCTTATGCCATTCAAACACACATGCATGAAACAAAGTTTCATCTCCATAAGCCTCGGTTAACATTTGGAAGTGTTTCCTCCGTGGCTGATTTAAGTTTCACAAGAAACTTGTTGTTGATTTGTTGCTTGGTTTTTACATTAGACATATTTCCGGCGGAATGCAGTTGCACGTGTTCGCTCAATGACGCAGTATTCGCCACTGGCGTGGTTGGTTAAGTCGAAACTGGCCGCATGGATAGAGGAGATGTGTGGCATGACGTCACCAAAACAAATGTTGCCAACTCTACTCTGTTTTCAGGCTACACAATTAGTCTCTTTATTTTTTTTTTTTTTTTTTTTTTTTTTTTTTTTTTTTTTTGTAGCACACCTTGTATATGCAGCATAGTAAATTCCATTAATATAGAAAAGACAAACTTAACCATTTTTAACAAAAAAACTTAAGAGTTAAAACTTTATTAAGTATTTTTAACACCCAAGAGCTTCTTTTAATGAAAGTTTAGCATAAATTAACATAAAAATCATTATTAAAAATCACAACTTAATGCCTTTGTTTTGACTACAACCATTAGATATTACGGAATGTAAAGTAAAAGTCTAGAATTATTGCCTAAATTGCTGAAAAATTCGAAAATTCTGGAAAGATATAAAACCTTAATGATTGCGCTAAAATCTAGTACAACCGAAATAGCTTTACCGCAAACCATGCATTTAAAAATCAAAAATCTTACCTCTGGTTGGTTTATGCCCAAAGAGCCCAGTAAAATGGCAAGGGACCCTAATACTACCCAGCATATCATTGCCCAAACCAATGACGGAACCTCCAGCGCAGATGAGGGCACTTTCTCCTCCTGTAAAAAATTTTGTAGATGAGATACTTATTTATAAAGTACGCATTATTTTCATCTTATGGTATAAGATATGTTACTTTTACTAAGCCTCTCTAATAGCTGAACAAAGTTTAGGGTACCGTTATTTTTAGAAGCACCTGTTATTTATATTCAGAAGGATCCATTACGGTTGTCTGATATGAACTGTATATTTTGTTTTAATTTGCAGTATGCAACAATTTAAAAATTCGAATAATGCTCATTACAACATTCCCGTTTCATTATTTCTTTCCCCAAATAAGAGCTAAATATGAATCTAAATTCGTGAGATTTTCCACATGTTTTCTAGAAAGGCATTATAGAAATGAAAATGACCAATGCATGTTTAAGCCTTTCTCGCTATCCATGTCAGTTCTGAGCTTCAAATGGTAATTAATCTGTCTACAGTTTTAAAAATAGAGGTAATGCAGCGTGAAAGAATGAATAATTTGCAGTCTTTTTTTATTAAATGAACAATGAGTTAGCTTATAAGTACTATAGCAAACATGAAAACGTAGAAAATCAATAATTCGAAAAGGTTTTTAGCTTAAAGGGGCGATTTGTCTAGAGGGCTATTAAATTCCATTCTGGCGTTTTTGAGTTTTCTACTATAAAACGGGGTTTCCCTTTTCAAATTGTTGCACCAAATATTAGAGCTCTGCTAATATGAGCATTTGGAAGCCCAAATTTGGAATTTGTTTTATTATCTATTTCATATTTTCTAAAATTTTAATTAATTTTTGATTAATAAACACAAAGATTTGAAAGCGGGAAATGTCCGAAAAAAAAAAGTCTCCAGGGCGCGAGACTGTGTATCAGAAATTCTAAATATATGCTCTTTTTAAATATTTTGTGATATCGCTGCTTTTTTGAATTTTATGATTAAAGTGCGAAGAACATGATATATAATATATAAAAGTAACGTACAAAACGTTGATACAACATTTTGTACATTATCATCAACATCGATCATCTGGATTAATATAAAATCTGAAAGCTTTCAGACTTTTTTTGTCATTTTTTTAAAAATTATCCTTTTTTTTTTTTTCAGGCAAACTGAAAATATTTTTCAGCAACAATGTTTAAGCTAGAGATTTGTTGGAAAATATGAACAAGTATTGATATTGATGGGGCACGAAGCTGAAATTTTCATGTATTTTAAAAAATGAAAGCTAAAAATTTTAGCAATTTTTTAACTAAATAATAGAACTTAGCTTATAGCAGATAATTTAGCCACCTAAATGGTATAGTGATTAAGAGTGCCTACTGTGTGCCGAAGGTTCCGTGTTCGAATTCTGGAGAAGGCATTGTAATTAATAATCGATCATCTGGAGACATATGTAGCTGGTTGTTTAGTTTTAGAAAGGTGAAGCAGGCAAGGACGGACTGAAGAAAAAAATGGTATGCATTCGTGAATGAGTTTCTAAGGCAAATTATCTCCCGTTACACATGAGGAAATCGATGAAAAGGTTCAATCTGGATTTCAAAGAATTTAGCTAGCATTGTTCCGGATTTCAAAGAATTTAGCTAGCAAAGCCGGTTTTAGCTAGCAATGTTCAGCGGTCTCATTCTTTCGGTCATTGATAAGCATCTGAGAACTCGGAACTTAATATTTTCAAACCATGGAAAATCTCCAAATAGCGTCATTTTATTGAATATTTTTATAACTTATGTATTTTTATTTGCTTCTTAGCAGCTAATATTTATCCCTGTTTACTTTTAGATGAACAAATACTTATATATCGCTTTGAAAATAATGAGAATTCTAAGTTGGCAGAACAACCTTGTGCAATTGAGATTTTATTCGGATAAATTAAGGATAATCCAATAAAAGATATAATGAGAAGAAAGGCAAAAAGGATCTTAGCGTATAAAAACTTAAATTCGGCGGTACTTTTCCGTTTCGCCGGCGAAAATCTCACCAAGCAGGCTTTATTGGCGACAACATACACATAAAATATTTTAACAAATGTTAGTTCTAAGAATTTTTTATTTTGAAGGAATAAACATTTTAATATCGTTTACAATTTTGTAAGAAACCAATAAATAAAGATAATAAATTTGTAAAAAGACATTAATTTAAGAATGTACTATGATTTCACGGTTCAACATCCTGATTCGCCGGTTCATGTCACGTGACCCGAAGTGATCTCATCGCACGTAAACTACGCTACAAAATTCTAATTTTCTCAGTTATTATCTACATTAATTTCAAGTTAAATATTAATTGGGAATGCAAGGATTATTTCAATTCGTACGAATAGCTTACTCAGAAATTATGTAAACTCGCAGTGCTTTACTTCGCTAGTGCAATCTCATTAGAATTGATGAATTTAACCCTTGAGTTTGCCTTTTCTATATTTTCGCCTTCGGTGAGCGGTGTGATTGCATCTTAATTGACTTAATTACCGCGAATGTAATTCTATGCCAGTATTGAAAGAAACAATCAATCTGATAAGAAATGGCTGCGATTTGTTTTGAAAATGAGGCTAAAAGGTTACCAGCGAGGATATTCCGTTTGGCATCAGCTGTACCATTATTGGCGACTTTATCGCCTGCGCCAGCAAAACGGAAAAGTACCAATTCGGCTTTAACAATTTGTCTGAATAATCTCATGGTAATACGTTTTCAAATTTGAGGAAACTGAGAAGGTTCTGCAACACTTACCGCTGCTTCCACCACTGGTTCTGCTGGTGTCATAAGGATGACTAGTCTTACCATGAGCTTTGTTATTAGTTTCGAAGTTCATGCCCATTTCAGCACTGTTGGTCGTTGCCAAGACGATAGCGCCAGCATTCTTCATGATGGCCACTGTAGGAGCGTCTTCTGCAGCTTTGACATCTTTGAAAAGCAGAGATGCTGCAGTGCTTCGAAACCCTGTAGAGAGAAATGTTTATGGGTAATATCAATTTATTTAAAATGCAAAGGAAAAGGTGCAGGGATATGATGGAAAATGTTCTGCGAAGAGAAATGCTGCTTTTAAACTGTACGCTTATTCTTTCGTTGTTTAGTGAACAGCTGTTACTTGGTATCTTCATTTAAACAGATTAGTATTTTTGGTACACACTTATGCAGTAAATTGATGAATTTATAAAGAAGCTTTTAAATAAATGAAGTTATGTAAGTAAGATTCGCATACTGATTCCTCAGTTAACAGAAAAAAAGCTGTTTTTAGAGTGTGTTTATGAATACCTCAAAACTGATAAAATCAGCTACAGAAAATTAGTGTTTAGAAGTACATTTGAAAAAAAAAAAAAAATGATAAAAATGTAAGGCCTTTCATAATTATTTTTGTCATATTATTTGTTTTCCCCTAAATTCTTCACAGACTTGGACTTTGAAATTCAGATGCAAAAACAAATTTGGTTTAATATAATTTTGAAATGAGTTAATTATTTTATAACTCTTAATGCTAATGTTTCGCTAACTAACTAATTGGAATTTAAACCTGTGGAATGAAAAATACAATGTCAGTTTAACGAAAGAACCTTTCCTTGCAGAATTTTGTTTTTTCAACCAACATAAAGTCGAGAAAGAACTTTCCAAATGAAATTTATTTAGAATTTATGCTATAATTTATCTGTTTTTGGCAATGATTCCAAACAGATTGATATTTTTCCAATCGTTGCATGTCCACATATTAAAACTCTTGCATAAGAAAATCTGTCATTTATAATATCTTACTTTTACCAAATCTACAGATTGTGTTTATTAATGTTTAGAAAGATTTCGAAATGTTTTGGAATAAAAGATGTTAGCAATAGCTTATTATTTGTAATGAGAAATATCGTCTGCTACTTTTAACTTTTTCTTCGTTCAAAATGTCGCATGTAAACAAGCTGTGGATTGAAGGATATATTTTTGCGCTTTCCAAAGGAAAGTATTCTTATCAAACAATCCAAAAACGTTATGTTATTAAACGGAATCAATAAATCCAAAAATAATCAATGTTATTAAAAGGAAAGGGAAAAACCGTCAAACTTTACTTCTACATGGGACGAAAACTCCAAATGAATACTCTTCGTTACTGTACTATATATAGTAGAAGAATAATCGCGTTCAGAAAGATTGGGTGTTGTTTATTGCTGATATAGTCCCACTAGATCAGATAGCATATGTAATTTTTCACTTTGTTTTCCGCGCTGTGCATAAAATGATGAAAGTATGTGTATCGAGTTCATTTTCCTGGTAACGCAATTTTGCACTGCCGGGAATACTGAATTCTAAGAAGGGATGATTGCATTTTTTTGCGAAGAATTTTGCTTTATCCGAAAATGGTATGTACTGTTTCTAATGTTCTAAGCTAAATAATTAGTAACAAGAAAAAATCGCTGACGTAGAAATCAGTTGCAGTGTCTTTAAATACAAACTAAGCAACAATAAATGAACCAATATTTACACCTTAAAAAGAATGAAAAACATGATGTTTGCCAGTTTTTGAGGAGGTACAACGCAAAAACAATTTATAGAATCCTGTATGAAAACTATTTAGCAGGAGATAAATCGAAATACATTGTTACCTTGATGAAGCATTAGTTTACCTAAATGACTGCAAGAAGAGGTCTATTTATTATCGACAACGGGGAGAAAAAAATGTAGAAACCTGGTCCGTTAATGTTAAAATTTTGTTAGGGGATTTATGATTGTAACATAATTCTCTTGCAATGGTTCCGAGTTTGAAAAGTAAGATGAATAAAAAAAATGTTAAGATCGAGAGATAGAGAGACGCTCTTAAAAATTACGGACTAATGAGGATTAAGGAAATCATCCCGACACGCCCAGGGAAACTTGAACAAAAACAGGGAATGCAGTTCCAGTTAGAGAGTGAGAGCTAGTTAATGAGTTGGCTGCAGTAGAGAGAGAGTTCTCTCGTGTTTTTGAGTCGTGTCAAGAGCAATTTAGTTTCGCTTTGCCAAGAGCATTCATCTCTCTGCAAAGAGATCCACTGGACGACAGCTGGATTTGCCGCTACCCAACTCGAGAGCATACGCTCGAAACGGTCACCACAGGCCAGAAGAGGCAACCACAAAGCGTGGTGCTGCGCTTCAGAATTTTCGCCTGCATCGGTAACAGCTAAACCCTCCAGAACTCTAAGTGGGAAAAAAAATATTTCGTTCATCATTGGTTTATGTGTTTTATATTTTATTTTTCCCTTACTTTTCCGATGAGAACAATATTTTATAAATTATTTATAAAATATAGGCATATAGCCTAGAATAGAATCTTAATAAATTTATTTACGCTATCTCCTGATTTGCGCGAACTTGTCACAAAATATAATGTATGAGAATGAAAATACCGAGCTCACCGAGTCGAGTAAGAGAGTGGGTATACATATATATATATATGTTTGCTGCGGCCGAATGCGGTTAAAGAGGAGGGGCCCAACTAGATGTTACAGCAGCTCCATACAAACAATTTTAGCATTTTACTGCTAATCGTTTTTGGACTAAGCCAGGTACATACGTACAATGATTACGAAAAAATACCTCCAAGTCCCGTATTATGAAAAAAAATCGTTTTAATGGATTCGAGGGAGGTCAAAATAGCTATTTTCTTTGCAATATGATAATACCCGAAATGTTTCGCGATTACAGCACTTCCTTTACCTTTTTGCAAGAAAGTAAAAAGAACTTTTCGAATGCAGACCTAAGACAACATAAGGTGGATGGATGAAGAAAACAGGGCTGCCAGTTATTAGAAATATCTTTTATGTATGAAATCAGGTGTAGATTCGAAAAACTATCCAGAGAAAAGGCCATAATGCAGAACATTTCTAAAGCAAATGCTTTAATTGAAATCTAAAGCATGAATTGAATTCAGTCAGTTCATTCTGAAAATAGTAAACAATCTCTAAAATTATTTGCAAACACTGTTATCGTTAAAGAGTGCTAACAAATATTCAAGTTATCATTTTCATCAGGCCTGCTTCTTCAGAAATGCATAAAAACGATAAGTACACAATAATATCTAATATAATTCGACCTTTACATATTCATGTGAAAAAACGAAATGTATTCAAGGAAAATGCAATGTCTGGTGTGCATCTTTAATGATTTTCCGTATCTAAGGATGCACAGTTAAGGAAAACCATCTTCTTAAAGAATAATATCCAAAGAACATAAAAAAATGAGCTGATAACTAACATCAAAGAAAGATATTTAAATTTCAAGGCTAAGGTACTTATTGTGTGGATTATCTCTTTGTTTCATTATTCTTTCCAAATTATGAGGAGATAAAGCAGTTGCCGGAATTCAGCACAAGTATTTCCCTTGAATAAATTCTAAAAAAAAAAAAAACTCTTAGTAATCATTTGAACTTTATAAAAAAACATTTCTCGTGTGCGAATTTACGAGGCCATTCTGCCTAATTTTACTTGAAGACAAGCATGTAACTTATTAGAAAAATATCTGCTGTTGTCACTACATGACTTCCTTGTGCGATCTATTAAATTATACACATTTTTTGCTGCATTTTATTAAAACGTATTTCCTAGAATTTTATTAGAGATATATTTCTCATTCAATTAATTCAGTTCCCACTTCGCAGCAAGGCAAAAATACATAAAAACTCAAAACATTTTCATTAAAAATTATAAAATAGAGAAAAATCATTAAACACCAAATGCAGTTAATAAGCAATTTTTACAATTAAACTTAGAGTTTCCAAGCGAAAAGAAGCAATTCGGCCACCGGGCAGGAAGATAGATTTTTAGGTGCTCAAACCTGAAAGCTTACTTTTAGTTCCCCTCGGCAAAAAGACACTGAAGGTGTTTATGCGCAAACTGACTTAATTCCCTGTTCGTTTTACTAAGAGTTTCAAATGTAAAAACTTTCCCGATTACAATACTTTACTTCGCACAAGGAAGTAATAAATTTTAAAACAGAACAATTGTTCTATTAAATAATTATTTTCAAATTATTTAAAAGCGCAATTGTTCTGTTTTAAGTTAAAGGAAATCTGCTGTGAAAAGAAATAGAAAGCGACAAATGACACTTAACAGACGATCAAGTTAAACATTTTTCTGTATTATAAGCTACGGAGTTCCAGCACTGAGTAACAGCAAATTCTCTCTCTCTCTATATATATATATGTGTGTGTGTGTGTAATAATAAAATTCCATAGTCAAGAATACACGTTAAAGTTCTAACTGTATGTTCTTTTCATTTTTAATGCCGACGTTCTCTTATTTGAAAGTACGTGGAATTAAATCCACAGCCCCGTAGTCAAGTTGTTTTTCCCGCCTTTTCTATACGTACAGTTATAGAATGTTCTCGGGATATTTAAAGCGAACTGGATTGGCTGACGAGGCTGACGTCATTTTTTGGAAGCTCCGCCTTTCCAGAGGCTATAAAAGAACTCGCAAAAGGAATATCGGGGCTTTTTCTTAAATGTCACAATGCAGTAAACTTCATACAAAAAGTTATTAGTAATTCTTTTTATTTACTCCGGATATCTGATTTTTGTAACTGTTCTCCTGAATAATAATAAATGGATCCTGTTTTTTTTTTAAAAAACTATCGTCTGATTATTTAAGCTACGTGTAAAGCTGATACATCACACACACACACACACACATATATATATATATATAATAATTTATTTCCTAAACAATATTGATTAATTGATTATATTATCTCCTATATATATATAAAACACGAGTAAAAATAAAAGTAATATTTCCTACATATGAAGAATTTTCTGAGATAAATTTTAATTTTACAATATAGGTATTCACGCAATTTATGGATTTCAATAAATAACATTTAGAACTTTAAATAAACATGATTTAAATTTTCAGTTAATTTATTTGGAAATCAACAAATTAAATTGATTATGTATTCATAACCCTGAGCTCCATTTTCGAATCAATATGG